GCTTCTGGCTGCTCTCCACGACGTCGCCGTCCAAACCGGCGAGCGTCGAAGGAAGCTGCTGGAACGGGCGCGGTACGTGTGCCGGATGCTTCGAGTCCTCCTGCGCATGAAGTAGGAGCCGCGCCAACCCCTCTGTCTGCCCGATGTCGCCGTCTGGGAAGAAGACGGACGCGACGACGCGCGACGGGTCGTAGCCAGGCACGGAAACAGCGAAGCCGCGCAGCGCGTACTTGCGGAGCCGCGATTCATAAGACGGCGAGCGTCTCGACGGATCAACGAGGTTCAGAGATGAGTTGACCGCGCGGCGAAAGCGCGGCAGGCACAGTAGTCGCGTTCCGTCGTAGGCAGCGCAGCAGGAATCGATGTCGAAGCCCATCAGAACCTCGGCGGGCGACGAGTAGAGCCGAAGAATGACCTGGACACGGCGCAACGGCCAGGACGCGGCGAAGGTGATGGCCCCGTTCGTCCGGATGATGACCGGCATCTGGGGCGCCCACGCATCCTTGAGCACCTGATGGATCTCCTTGATCTTTGCGCGGGCCTTGGCCGCCGTAAGACCGACGAGAAAGAGATCAAGATCAGATTCTTCAAAGCCGGAGATGTGATCATCTCTTTTTTGGTTCGAGCGCCACAAATCAGCTGATCCAAAAGAGTGCGTTACGCCGTCGCTGTCCTCGAAATCGTTCGCCCACCATCCGAGTCCAACACGGAAAGGACCAATCTCCATCTCTTCCCAGTCCTCGACATCCACACCGACGGTCTTGTTCTGGAACCAGCCGCGCGCTAGGTCGCCGGCGGCCGCCCACTTGGGGACTGGCAGCGCGCAGGCGGCGACCGCGCCGCCCGCGGCGACGACGCCCGTCCAGTTGAGCCGGTCGAGGCGGCGGAGCGTGAACGTGCGCCAGTTCTTCGCAAACTCGTCGCGCGACGCGATGGACGAGCCGCCGGGCTCGACGCCCGCGCGCCGGAGGCGCCACGCGCGGCGCCCGCCGCCGAGGACGATCGGCGCCGGCGGCGCCCGGTCGCTCTCGTCGACGAACGTCGCCGTGTGGTCGTGCGCGTAGATGACGTTTCCGCTGTTGAGAAGCGCGTCCATGGTGAGCGTGGGGTGGCCCGGCTCGCGCACGACGAGCGCGCGGAGGCGGTCCTCGTCGAACTTGACGTCGCCGCCCGCGGCCGCGCAGATCTGCAGCCGCTCCTCGGGGCCGGCGATGAGGCTCGTGAGGCCCCGGACCTGGTAGTAGTTCGCCTCCGCGAGGAGCTCGGCGCGCAGCGTCTCGTCGGAGCCCGCGCGACCTCGGAGCGCCGGGGGCACGGTGCCCTCGCGGAGGAAGTTGAGCACGAGGCGGAAGTGCGTCGGATCGCGGTCGATGAACACGGACCCGTCGTCGAGGGGCCGCAGCGCGTGGCGGCCCGAGAACATCGCGCCGAGCATCGACGACGGGTCGGCCCGGAGCGTCTGGACCGACGTCGTGAACTTGGTTCCGCCGACGTTCAAAGTCACGAGGGTATCCGCGCGCGCGTTGCGCGCCTCCGCCTCGCGCACCTCGCGGTCGAAGGTGGTGCGCTCGTCCGTGAGCGTCCGCTGCGCCGCCGCGTGCTTGGCCGCCGCGGCCGCGAGCTTGGTGCTCGCCGTGACGCGCATCGCCTCCAGGGACGCAGTGGCATGCTTCAGCGCCGCCGTCGCGTCGCCGACGAAGGTTTCGATCAACGCGCTCGCGTTCCAGTCGTCGGTCATACCAACTTGCTCCGGCTCCTTGGTCTCCGACGCCATGCTCTAGCCCAGCGCGCGCGCGCGCCGCCTCTGCAGTGCGACGAGGCCCCTGTCGCGACTCGGGCCCGGGCCGCAGGCGGATCGATCCGGCACCGTCGAGTGCACTACTGCTCGTTTCCCTCGAATCGACAAACGTCCGCAGCATGGAAGCCGCGCCGAGGCAGCCCTTGGTGGCGCTGCAGGACCGGCCCATGTTCAAGGCCGGCATCCGCACGTGCGTCTGCGTCTATCGCGAGTCTGATTTGGAAATAGAAACGATGATGGCGACCTGGCGCATAGCCGGCCCACGTCCGGAAACCTTGCCGCCGCTGCACCTGTCCTTCGTCGTCGACGGCTCGACGGATCCCGAGAACCCCAGCCATAGTCTCCTCGCTCTCTGCCGCTGCCTCGGCATCGACGCCGCCGCGCCGGCGGACGCGGACCTCTTCGGCTGCCGGAGATACGAGGGCGAGATGCGGGCGTCCGCGGGCGCCTCCGACTTCTCGGGCGACCGCGAGGAGACCAAGGAGGAGGGCGCGCTGAAGACCTACCCCTTCGAGGTCTGGGTCAAGAACGGCGCGCTGCCGCGGGGCAAGCGCATGTCGCATCGTCTCTATTTCGAGATCCTTCGCGCGCGCGTCGCGTCGAAGGAGCTGCACGACGCCGCCGACGGCCATCCACTTCCAGGACGGCGACACGGGGTCCGATCGAGGCCTCGCCGACGTGGAGAAGCTCTTTCTCCTCCTCCTCGAGGACGACGACACGGGCGTCGTCTGCTCGAAGACGCGGCCGGCCCAGTACAGCCCCTGGGTCTGGCTGCTACGGACGCAGCAGCTCGAGTACCTGGAGATGTTCGGCGGCCTCGGCGGCTTCTCCTGGTTCCGGAGCGTCGGCTGCGCCGTGGGCATGTCCGTCATGTACCGCTGGACGGCGCTGCGGGACGGCGTCGTCCACGAGGGCATGACGGTGCTGGAGAAGTACGTCTCGACGTCGCGTTCCATCGTCGATCTGGTCATGCTCGACATGGTGGAGGACTACGGCATGACCATGTACATTTTGCAGTCGGGCGCCGGGTCGGTGATGAGCCATTTGACTCATTTTCGGACCTGCGTGCCCGAGACCTGGTGCGACTACTTCGGCCAACGGCGCCGCTGGTACACGGGCGGCCTCGTGGGCAACTTCGTGATCCTGTTCTCGCGGACCTACCTGACCTGCAAGTACTACCGCTTTTGCTTCTGGCCGTTCCTGTTCATGACCTACATGTCGGGCGTCTGCTTCGGCTTGGGTACGATGACCTACTCGATCGCGACGGCGGCGACGTACGCGTGGGTCGGCAACGCGACGGACGACCCGACGGCGTTCGGCGAGTTCGACGTCTATCAGGCCTGTGTCAGCGTCGAGCGACGGGAGTGTTTTTTTTGCGTGAATGTCGCCTGAAGATGTGAAGAAATCCGACCCCGTCGCACTTGGTAGGCCTGTGTCTTTGTGTTGTTTGGCATCTATTTTTTTTACTTTTTGCTGGTCGCGGAGCGCACGAACGGCGACAGAGTGTACACGAACGCGGCGATGGCGTCGCTCTTCGTGTTCTTGGGCTGGGCGACGGTGCTCTTGGTGCTCATGTTCGTCGGCCCGACGGGCGTGCTCGTGCCCCTGCTCATGGCCGTCGTGCCCATCGTGCTCCTGACGGAGCTCGGTACTTGGGGGCGGCTCCTCGTGAACATGGTCGTCACGACCGTGAACATGTACGTGACGAACATCCCCATCATGATCTTCGCGGTCGCGAACTTGGACAGCGCGGTCTGGGGCACGCGCACGTCGGAGCAGGTCGACTCGGAGGCCAAGGACGCGTTCCGCGTGAAGATGCGTCTCCAAAAACTCGCCATCGCGACGCTCTACTTCGGCGCGAACTTCTCGTTCTGCTTCTGGGTGAGCGACTTCTCGTCCCTCTTCACGGTCTGGGCCGTGGCGGGCATCGCGTCGATCCTGCTCTACGTGTTCTCGCTCTTCGAGTGGCGGCGGCAGAAGGCCTACCTCCGGACCCTCGGCCTCGACGAGCACCACGACGACGTCTGGCCGCCGGACCACTACGGCAAGGCCGGGGGCGCGCTCTGCTGCGACGGGTGTTTTTAAAACGTATAGGTGCTCGGGGCTCCGCCGGGCGACGCGCCGGGCGCCATGCCGCAGCTGAAGATGGAGAGCGCCGCGGAGAAGGCGCTCGGCGCGGGCGCGAGCAGGCTCGCGTCGCTGTCGCTCCGCGGGACGACGTCGCCGTCGTCGATGAAGCTGTCCTCGGCCGCGTCGCCGGCGCGGGCCTCGGAGGCGCCGAGGTTCTGGAGCACCGCGCGCGTGTGGTTGACGGCGCGCTGCTCGATGCGGTCGAAGTAGTGCTGGTTCTTCGCCGCGCGGTCGACGTGGTCGTCGCCCGCGCCCTCGGTCTCGAGGACGCTCTCCATGCGTCCCACGAGGGCGTCGGTGGCGGACTCGATGGACGACATGGAGAAGCTCCGGTAGACCTTGGCGTGGAACCCGTCACTCTCCTCGCGGGGCACGAAGAGGTTCTTCGCCGCGTCGCTCTGCAGCGACGCGGGCAGGTGGAAGAGCTGCATGGACACGGCCGGCGGCGCCTTCTCGAGCTCCTCGACGACGTCGCCCAGGAGCCGGCTCACCTCGGCGAACTGGTCCCCGCTGCACGCGCAGAGGTAGTAGAGCATCGACGGCCGGTCCTCGATGTTGACGACGTCGTAGTAGCGCCGCTTCCTGATGTCCTCGTGCTTCGCCGAGGCGACGTAGCGCTGGAGGCGGCACATGATGCCAAAAAAGATGGTCCGCTCCGACGGCTCGAGCGTCGTCACGAAGTCGATGATGCCCGGGAAGTGGCGCGAGATGTTGTTCCAGTACATGGACCGGTCGTCCGCGGAGTAGACCGACGTGCAGGACACGTCCGACAAAATGTATTTGCACTGCTCCGCGACGGCCGTCATGCGCTTCACGCCCGCGGCGTCGTAGCGCTTCGCCGTGACCCACGCGTTCCAGGCGAGCGGCGAGAACGAGTTCGAGATCTCCATGGCGGCGTCGACGGCGGCCTCCATCGCCGGCTCGGCGGCGTCGACGGGTGTCAGGGGCTCCTCCGACACCATCTCGACGACCATCGTCGACAGCCGCTTCGCGCGCCGGACGACGCCCTCTTTCAATCTTTGCATCGCGGGCCCCTTCTTCGAGGCGCGCTTCTGTCGCGCCTCTGGCGTGTCGTACTCGCCCAGCACGGCCTTCTTCAGGCGGTGCTTCGCCCGCAGCACGGCGCCGCGCCGGCCGCTCTCCTTCGTCGCCTGTTGCACGCAGCGCGCGAAGTGGTAGCACTGGCCCGCGATGACGACGACGAACCAGGCGTTCTGGAAGCGCGAGCTCCGGTTCGCCGCGCGCATGATGCCCATCAAGAGGGTCAGGGCCACGAGCCGCAGGCCCACGGTCTCGAGCGCGTTCAGGTTCGGGTTGATGTAGGGCTGGCACTTGAGGTGGGACGCGTACGACTCGAGCACGGCGACGAGCGCGATCGCGATCTGCACCGCGGGGTCGTCGAAGATCGTCGCCGCCGCGCAGATGATCACGCTCAGGTAGAGGCGCCGGATGCGCCAGGAGTGGTGCGGCGCGCGGAACGCGCCGAAGTTCCAGCCCAGCAGGTCCTGGACGTGCGCGTTGTGCACGCCGCCGTGCGCGCGGGACTCGTACTCGATGTTCAGGAACGTCATGTGGGGCACGCCCATGACGAAGACCACGAGCGTCAGGATCCCGAAGCCCATGACGCCCTTGGCGAAACCGCCCTTGCAGGACTCGTCGGGCTGCTCGCGCATGAACGGCTCGTCGTAGCCGGCGTACGTGTCGCACCGCATGGACCTACCAAGGGTGACAGGGTCGGATTTCTTCTCGTTTCCCTGCGAGATTTGCGCGAAAAAATAACCCTATCACTCGACGCTGGCATGGACTCGAAGGCGTTGAAGGCCATCGTCGTCTGCTGCATGTCGAGCAGGGCGAGGACCGACGCGCCCGCGGCGAAGGCCCGCTCGCCGACGCAGCCGTTGTAGTAGTGGAAGCTCCCCCGGAGCTTCGACAGCGACCGGAAGTCGCGCTCCGCCCAGAGCTTCTTCGCGAGCGTCCAGGCGATGGGCAGGAAGTTCACGAGCACGCCGACGATGACGACGCCGAACTGCGCGACGACGGACCGCGTGAAGCTCCACTCCATGACGCAGGACGGCTTCAGGATGTCGATGTCGAAGAGCGCGATGTCGAGGAGGAGCGTGTAGTAGTCCGTGCCCTTGGGCGCGTAGTCGTAGTTGAAGCGGCAGATGATGGCCAGCAGCTGCATGAAGTAGGTCATCAGGTCCAGCGACGGGAACACCTCGAGCAGATATTTGTTCAGAAAGACCCAGATGCTCAGCACGATGCCGAAGCCGCCGACGACCGAGAACCAGCGCAGGTCCGCCGAGTCCGGGCACGCGAAGGGCCCCAGGTCGCCGATCATGTAGTAGTGGGGGCTGTCGAGCGTGTGGCACATGCGGCCCCGGTACCCCGCGAAGCACTCGAAGTTCGTGTCGGAGCCCTCGGCCGGGTAGTAGGACGTCGGGAACTCCGGGTCGCCCCAGTAGCCCGCCTGGTTGTACGGCGGGTCCGCGCCGCCCTCGCAGACGCCGCCCTCGGGGCAGGCCTCGCAGTAGGCGTCGCCGGAGGCGTCCGTCGCCGCGTAGAAGGTCGGGAAGCAGGCCGTGCACGTGTAGACGCCGCCCGCGGCGTCGTCGACGGTCCGCGCCGGGTACGCGCACTTTCTGCACAGCAGGTTCGCTTCGTCGAGGTAGTAGTCCGTGCCGCAATCGATGCGCACGAGCTCCGTCAGGTTCCAGGCCAGGCCCTTGTCGTCCTCGACGAGCGCCGTGTGGTACCAGTACTTGGCCTCGACGCCGCCGTCGTCGACGGTGACGACCGCGTCCGCGGGGCCGAAGCTCGCCGCGTGCGCCGCGGCCGCCGCGATCAGCGGCGTCGTCGAGTCGACGGCGTTTAGACGGTTGCCGTCGCCGTCCGTGATGTTGCCCTCGGACACGGCGAGGAGCGCGCCGTCGCGCTCCGTGAGGAACGCGACGGACGCCTCGTCCGTCGCCTCCTCGAGCAGGTCGCCGAGGCCCGCCAGGACCTAGGAAGGTGTTTCGGCGGGGGCGAAGAAACAGCTGGAGGACGCGGGGCGACGAACGAAGTCCACCGACGACGTCCCCTCGGCCTCGGCGTCGTCGCCGAGCGAGTAGACCCGCGTCGCCGTGATGCCCAGGTCGCCCGTCGACGTGAACGAGTAGACGTCGCTCCAGCTGTAGACGTCGCCCGTCGCCGCGAGCGCGTCCGCGGCCGCGAGGTACCAGGGCCGCATGCGCGGGTCGTAGACGGCGAACTTGTAGGCCTCGTCCTCGAGGACGCAGTCCAGGAGGCCCAGCGCCTCGCTCGACGCGGACTCGCAGCCCTTGGTCGCCGTGCGCCAGCCCGAGCAGTTCGCGGAGCCGTCGGACCGCGCGACCTCGAAGTAGGCGCGGCACGCCGGGTTCGCGCCCTTGTAGCCCGCCTCGCAGGGCTCGTCGGCGGCCCCGCAGGCCTTCGTGTAGTTCCAGCTGCAGTTGTAGCCGGGCAGGAACGTCATGCGCGGCGCCTCGTCCTCGTCCTGCACGTTGTAGATGCCGAGGAACGTGCCGTCGCGGAACCCGCTATACATCATGTAGATGGCGGGGTCGTACCAGTAGCTCCGCAGCAGCGCGAACATGAGGCTCCCGGCCTTGGCCCAGTCGTCGACCATGGCGCCGAGGTGCTCCGTCTCGAAGAACTCGGACATGCTGTCGATGACGGCCCAGGGCTGGCCCATGACGGACTCGATCTCCCCCGCCAGCTCCACCGTCGCGACGCTCGACGACGCCGCGCCGCGCGCCATGCTCGACGACGCCGCGGCCGCCAAAGCGGGCAGCAGCGCGGCCACCCACGCGAGGCGCGCCATCGTGCGGCCAAACTTATTTTTTTCGCGGGGAAGCCTTGCAGTTCAACATTTTTATTGCACTGCCGGCGCCAACAAGACTTCCAACAATGACCGGCGCCGCCGCGCTCCGGATCGCCGGGATCGCGTCCGAGCGCGTAGGAGCGCTCGGGATCGCTCGATGTCGCTCGAGATCGCGCCGGATCGCCGCCGGGATCCCGGTGGCGCCGGCCCTCAACAAGTGCGCCGCGGCCCATCACTTCCATCGTCCATCATGATGGAATTTCCATGGATCCGTCGCGCACCACCGCGCGCGCTCTGGCCAGGGTGTCCTTCGTTTAGGGGCGCGGCCGCCGGCGCTGCTTGGGGCGCGGCTAGAGCTGGAGGCTCGGGAGGCCCGTCTGCTCGCGGAGGCGCTCGGCCATGGTGAAGGCGAGCTCGAGGCTCTGCATGGAGTTGAGCCGCGGGTCGCAGTGCGTGAGGTACTTCGTGCTGAGGCCGTGGCCGCCGTCCATGGTGACGGCGTTCGTGTCGCCGCCGAGGCACTCCGTGACGTCCTTGCCCGTCATCTCGAGGTGGACACCGCCCGCGTGAGTGCCGAGCTGCGCGTGGACGTCGAAGAAGGCGTCGATCTCCGCGCGGATGTCGTCGAAGTTGCGCGTCTTGAAGCCGTTCTCCGACGTGTAGCCGTTGCCGTGCACGGGGTCCGAGACCCAGAGCGCGGCGCGGCCCTGGGCCTGCACCGCGCGGATCAGCGGCGGCAGCTTCTCGCGCAGGTTCTTCGCGTTCATGCGCGTGATGAGCGTGACCTTGCCGGGGATGTTCTTCGGGTTGAACGTGTCGAGGATCTTGATGACGTCCTCGGGCGTCGCCTTGTCGGAGATCTTGACGCCCACGGGGTTCTGGATGCCCCGGATGAACTCGAAGTGCGCGAACTCGGGCTGCCGCGTGCGCTCGCCCACCCAGAGCAGATGGGCGCTGCAGTCGTAGAAGCGGCCCGTCGTCGAGTCCTGCCGCGTGAGCGCCTACGAGATGCGTCGGTCACGATGTTTCATGGGTTTCCCGGTCGAAATCTCTCTCGAACATCGTCGCGGATGCGGGACGCCGGCGCGCGCCTCCTCGTAGGGGAGGAGGAGGCACTCGTGGGCCGTGTAGAAGGACGTCTGGGAGAAGGTCGACGACCGCGTGTCGACGCCGATGGCGCGCATGAAGCGCAGCGACTCGTCGACCTGCGCCGCGAAGGACCGGTACCGCGACCCCGGGTTCGTCTGCTCCACAAAGTCGAGGTTCCAGTTGTGGAGGCGGCTGATGTCCGCGTAGCCGCCGCTGGAGAAGGCCCGGAGGATGTTGAGCGTCTGGGAGCACTGGTGGTAGGCCTTGACCATGCGGTCCGGGTCCGCGGCGCGCGCCTCGGCCGTGAACGGCGTCTCACAGTTGATGTTGTCGCCCTGGTACGACGGCAGCGTCACGCCGTCGATGGTCTCCTGGGGGTTGGACCGGGGCTTGGCGAACTGGCCCGCCATGCGGCCGATCTTGATCACGGGCTGCGCGCCGCCGTAGGTCATCACGAGGGCCATCTGGAGGATGACGCGGAACGTGTCGCGCACGTGGTCGACGGAGAACTCGTCGAAGGACTCGGCGCAGTCGCCGCCGAAGAGCACGAAGCCGTCGCCCATGCACGCGCGGCCCAGCTCCTCCTGGAGCGTCCGCACCTCGCCCGCGAAGACGAGCGGCGCGCAGCCGGCGAGCTCCTTCTCCGCCGCCGCGAGCTTCGCCGCGTCGGGGTACGTCGGGATCTGCTTCGCCTCGAAGTTCCGCCAGGAGCTCGGGCTCCAGGGGGACGTCGTCGACGCGCCGGGCGGCTGCGCGATGGACATGCGGAGCGGCGCGGGGCCGCGCAGGGCGCACGCAGCGCCGACCGTCGCGGCGAAGACCGCGAGGCGCGCCATGGCGTTTTTTTTCGCGGTTGACGCGGCGGCGCGGGCGGCGCGAGGGAGCGGGTGTCGAGCGCTTGGTCGGACGCGACGGGTGGCGTCGACGAACCGGTGGATGTCGCGGCGCAACGCGGTTTGACGCGGCAGCCGGAGGCAATCAACAGGGGCGGCGGCGCTCGATTCGCAGAATAGCAAAGCGCAGCTTCATCGCCAACCTTTAAGTTTGTGTCGGGCAGCGCAGGATGGTTTTTACGGTCATTTCGCGGCCGTCGTGGTCGTCGACGAGGATGAGCTCCGCGTGGATCGACGCGCGCGTGAACCAGAACATGGCGACGGAGCCCATGTCGCCGCCCTGCGCCGCGCCTTCCGCACACACGCACGCCCTCGAATGGAGATTACCGCGTCCGGGGGACAGAGGGGAGCAAGCGGGGTCGTCAGAAGGGCGACGGGAAGCCGCCCTGGGGCTGGGGCGGGCGCTGCTGCTGCTGGGGCGGGAAGCCCTGCTGCTGCGGCGGGAAGCCCTGCTGTGGCGGGAAGCCCTGTTGCGGGGGGAAGCCGCCCTGGCGCTGCTGCATCTGCTGCTGCTGCATTTGCTGTTGCTGCCTCATCATCATCATCTGTTGCTGCTGTTGTGGCGTCATCTGCTGCTGCATCATCTGCTGCTGCCGCATTTGCTGCTGCATAAGCATCTGCTGCTGCTGCGGCGTCATCTGTTGCGGCGAGGCGAAGCCCGGCTGGCCCTGGAACTGGGGCTGCCGCGGCGGCATCTGCTGCTGCGGCGACTGGAACTGGGGCTGCTGGCCGTAGGCCCCCTGGCCCTGGAACTGGGGCTGGCCCGGGAACTGGGGCTGGCCCGGCGGCGGCGCCTGGCCGAAGGCCGCCGGCCGGCGGCGCCTGGCCGAAGCCCCCGGCCGGCGGCGCCTGGCCGAACTGGGACGGCGGCGGCTCGGGCCAGTCCATCTGCGCGGGCCGCTGGGGCGTCGCGGGGCCGCCGTTGTAGTCCGGGACGAACTTGGCCAGCCGGTTCGCGTCCGTCTGCCGCTCCGCGCCCGTCGAGTCGAGCGTCACCGTGTAGTAGGGCGGGTCGCCGGCGTCCCAGTGGACCTTGAGCACAGTGCCCTTCTCCGGCGCCTGCGTCGAGCCCTTCTTGGCCTTGTAGAGCACGCGGTCGCCGACGACGAAATCCGACGCCTTCGCCGAGGGCGCCGCCGCGTCGCCGCCGCCGCCGCCGCCGCCGACGAGGGGCCCGTCGCCGCCCGTGAGCGACGCGAAGGGGTCGTCGTCGGCGGGCGCGGCCGCCGCCGGCGGCGCCGCGGCCGCCGCCGGCGCGGCCGCGGGAGTCTTGGGCGCGAGGACGTGGTGCGGCTCGACCGTGCGGCTCTGGCCCGACGCGAGCGTCACGGTGTAGTAGGGCTGGCCGTCGGGCGCGTCCGTGTGCACCGTGGCGACGGCGCAGGGCTCGACGCGGCCCATGAACTCGTAGAAGACCGCCGCGCCGACGGCGAGCGCGCCGCCCGGCGCCGCGAGCTCGACGACGGCGGCCGCGGGGACGACGCGGCCGCCGGGGCCGTCGCCGGGGCCGCGCACGGCGACGCCGCCGCCCTGGCTCCCGAGGACCTGGCCCTTGGCCCACGCGCCGCCGCCCGCGTCGACGAGGCACGCGGCGCCCGGCGCGGGGCCCGCCGCGGCCGCCGGCGGCGCCGCGGCGCCGAAGGACGGCAGCTGCTGCTGCATGGCGCCCATGGACTGGAGCCCCGCGGGGGGCGCGGCGCCGCCGCCGAAGGGGTCCGGCTGCGAGGGCGGCGCCGCCGCGGCGCCGCCCTGGAACGCGGCGCCTCCGAACGGGTCCGGCGCGGCCGCCGCGGCCTGCTGGGGCGCGCCAAAGGGGTCCGGCGCGGCCGCGCCCTGCGGCGCGCCAAAGGGGTCCGGCGCGCCCTGCGGCGCGCCCTGCGGCGCGCCGAACATGTCCGGCGGCGCGGCGGCCGCGGCCGGCGGCGCTCCGAACGGGTCCGGCGCGGCGGCCGCGGCGGGCGGCGCGGCGGGCGGCGCGCCGAAGGGGTCCGGCGCCGCCGGCGCGGCGGGCGGCGCGGCGAACATGTCCGGCGCCGCGGGCGTCTCCGCCGCCGGGGGCGCCGCGAAGGCGTCGAAAAGGTCCGGCGCGGCCGGCGCCGGGGCCGCGGCGGGCGGCGCGGCCGCGGGCGGCGGCGCGGCGGCCGTCGGCGGCCGGATCTGGAGCCGCGGCGCGGCGGCGGCCGGCGGCGCGGCGAGGCGCGGCGCGGCGCCGCCGCCGGAGGCGCGGCTGCCGAAGGAGATGGAGATCTTCTTCTGCTCCGGGGGCACCACGCCCGGGTCGTCGCGGAGGTAGCCCGGCCGCGGCGGCGCGGGCGGCGCCGCCGGCGCGGGCGCCGGCGTCGGGGCCGGCGGCGGCGCGGGCGCCGCCACGGGCCGCGCGGGCGGCGCCGCCGCGGGCGCCGCGGCTTTCGGCGCGGCGGCCGCGTAGTCGACGGCGCGCTTCTCGCCGGCCCAGCGCTTGTCGACGTACTTGGCCGTGAGGTAGCGCTTGAGCTCCGCGCGGCTCGCCTGGGCGCCGGGCTCCGGCATGTCGCTCGCGTCCCAGTGGGCCATCCACAGCTTCCGGCTCGGCTCGTTCCCGTGCTGCCGCATCGCCCGGACCTCGTCCGTCGCGAACTCCGCGAGCGAGATGGACTTGAGCTTCCCGCTCGGGAAGAGCTCGCGGTGCGCCGCGGCGCAGTTCTGGCAGATGAACGTCCGGTACATGAGGCACGCCACCGTCGGGCCGCGCGCCTCGCAGTCCGCGCAGCGCCGGTTCGCGGGACGCTTCAGCGCGTCCTTGACCGCGCGAGTATTGCGGTCAATTTCCGTTTGGCTCGGCATGGCGCCTTTTGAGGTTGCAGCGCGCGGCGCGGCGTGGAGGCGGCGGAGGCGTCCAGGCAACGAAGCGCGCGCGCGGCGCCGGCGGCGGGTGTGACTGTCCACAGACAACCAAGCGGCCGCCTCGCCAGCAACAGGAATCCGGCGGAGGGATTCACTTCGCGCGCCGTATGCAGTGCCCCGATCAACGTACATCTAGGTGCACCCACAGGAAATTAATTAATAAAGATCAATCATCGAATTCCGGCCGGCGGAGCCAGAGTCATTAGTCCTCCATAGAGGCTGTGCGTCGACCGCGCGCGTGGGCGCGGTGTCGCGGAGGTCCGCGGGCTGAAATCACGGCCAAAATTGGGTTATGGTCGTATCAAAGCAAGTTTGATGATATTCGCGCGTTAATTGCACGTTTGCGATGGCTTTTTGCGCGCGGTCGCTGGTTCGGGTCGCGAAATCGCAAGATTTAACTTCAACAAAAGTGCTGAAGTTCAACAAAAATGTTGACTTTTAAATCCAGGCTATCAGAATCTGAGTTTTGATCGGTGCACTGGCCGTATGCCAGCGCACGCCAGCCTTTCTTACGCGTCAGTAGTCCATGTCGCCGTAGCCGCCGCAGCACTCGCAGCCCGCGTAGCCGCCCGCGAGGAGCTGGCCGCTGAGGTGGCCGCGGTCGCAGAGGGACAGGCAGAGGCGGTCCCGCTCGGCCCAGTCGCGGAAGCGCGCCGGGAGGCACGCCCAGATCGCCGCGGAGACCTGGGCCTCGTCGACGACGACGGACGTGGCCCGCCGGCACGTCGGGCAGGGCCCGCCGCTCCAGAAGCCCGCGGCCTGGTCGCGGCGGGCCAGGCCCTTGCCGAACTTGACGCGCGGCTCGAAGTGTTCGCCCCGCGGGTTGTAGACGAGGGTCACGGCCTTGCGGAGGCGGCCCGCGACGCAGAGCGCGACGCGCGAATCGTTCGGGTCCGCGCCTTGGGTGCAGACGCCGAGCGTCATCGCCGCCGACGACGACCGGGCGAAGCGCTTGCCGTGGTCCGCGCAGCGCCGCGCGTAACTCGGCGGCGCGGGCACGGTGACGGCGTAGTCGTCGGCCGCGACGTCGTCGTCGACGCCGTAGTCCGTCGCGTCGCGGTGCTGCACGCCGGCCCGCAACCCGCCGTAGCGCTTGCGGAGCTCCAGATCGTTCGCGAGCTCGTCGGCGGCGCCGGGCACCTGCACGAGCAGCGACCGGCATTTCTCGGCGTCGTCGAGGACCCGGCCCGGGGCCCGCGCGGCCTCGACGAGCGCCGCCGCGCGCGCCGCCGCGTTCCGCGCGGACTCGAGCGTCCGCTTCGTCGCTTCGTAGCGCCGCTTCGCCTGGGTCCGCAGGTTCGGCACCATGTCGAGGATGCGGTCCGCGGCGACGTAGGACGCGACGAGCGCGAGCACGTCCTTGGGCACGCGCCGGAAGACGGACGTGCCCGCGTGCCCGAGGACCAGCAGCCGCGTGAGGTCATACTTCCCAAAGTCCCAGGGCCGCTTCGGCTGCTTCGACTTTTTCGCGTAGGCCGCCGCCGCGAGCGCCGCGTGCTTCACCGACGGCGAGCACGCGAGGACGACCGTGCCGCCTTCCAACGCCACGTCTCGCCGGAAGGCCGCGGGCGCCTCGCGATCCGCGTGGACGCCCCGGTCCGCGCCGCGGATCAGCGACGTCGCGACGCCGACGACCTTGGGGCAGTCCTCGAGCGCGGCGCGGTCCAGGGGCGCGCCCCGCGCGGCCGCGCGGCCCGCGGAGGCGCGCGGGGCCCCGCGCGCCGCGTAGGACCACGACGACGAGATCGCGCGCAGGCACACGAGCACGCCGACCCCCAGCGCGTCGGCCAGCCCCGCGTCGCAGCGCAGGTCCGAATTCGCGAGGAAGACGGGCCCCGCGTCCGCGTGCGCGACGTGGACCGCCGCGGACGCCGTCCGGGGGCCGCAGTAGACGACGGTCCGCCGGAGCACGGCGCCGGCGCCGCGCTGCACGGCGAGCAGGGGCTGGGGCACGATGTCGTCGAAGCCCTCGCCCCGCGCCACGAGGCGGCAGCCGTCGAACTCGACGAGCGCGCGGTCCGCGGAGAGCCGGCCGGACGCGCCCTTGGGCCGGCACGACGACGTCGGCGGCGGGAAGACGAGGTCCAAGTTCGCGAAGCGCACGTGGGCCTGGGACACGACCAGGGGCGCCTCGAGGACGTGAAAGGGCGCCTCGGCGACGACGGAGACGCGCGGCCGGCCCGCGCCGAGAATCTCCACGGATTTCCGCAGCGCGACGGCGTGGCCCCGGCCGCGCGTCGCGCTCTTCGGGTCGCGCCGCGCGACGAGCGTCCAGTCCCCCGGGCCCAGGAGCACGACGTCGCCGTGGTCCGCGGCCTCGAGGGCCGCCTCGAGCGAGTCGTAGAAGGCCGGGTTCGCGCCCGCGACGGCGAGCGACGCGTGGAAGGCCGTCTTCGCGCCCGCGACGCCGGCCCCGACGACGCGCGCGCGCCGCGTCGCGGGCACGAGCGACGACCCGTAGGCGCCGAAGGTCTCCCGGCGCCGCGGGTACGTCGGCGACTCCGCGCCGAGGTCGGCCACGGCCGCGAGCCACGCCTCCTCGCCGGCGGCGGCCGCGGGCCGCGCGCGCTTGGCCGGCGGCGGCGGCGGCGGCTGCTCGGCCCGCTCCGCCGCCAGCGCCGCGTCGGCGAGGCGCTCGAGCTTGGCGTTGAGCATGCCGAAGCCCGGCGCGAGGGGCGGGCCGCCGAGGGCCTGCAGCCGGCGGTCGACCTCCTCGATGCCGAGCTCGCCGAGGTTGATGCCGTGGCGTTTTCGCGCATCCGCGCGCGCCGCGGACAGGGCCGCGCGCGCGGCGAGGGCGCCCTCGACGGCGGCGGCGGCGGCGGCGGCCTCGGCCATCTGCGACCGCCGCTCGGGGAGCGCGCGCCGCAGCGCGGCCCACCGGGGCGCGTCCTCGGCGGCGGCGTCCGGCGCCGCCGCGGGCACCGCGGGCACGTCGATGAGCGCGTCGACGCACTTGTGCTTCCGCAGGGCGCCGTCCTTGTTCTCCGCGTACGTGTTCCCGCAGACGCCGCAAGGGCGCCGCGTGGCCATTTTGATTCTCGAGAGCGGTTTCGCGCCGCTTCGCGGGCGGTCTCGCGCCGGCGGTCGATGAGGTTTTTTGGCGTGGATGACTTCCTCGAGGCCTCCGTGCACGATGTGGCGCGCCCCGAGCGGTTTGGGGGCTGGGCGCGGGCGGACGCGGGACGCGAGCGTGACGCTCTTCGAGAGCACGACTCGATCACAAGGTGCGTTCGTTTGCCCTCGTTGTTGCACTTCAGCTGCCCGATAATTCATTTACGCCTCCGACGCCTACGATGGCGGATCCATTGGGCTTACATCCGCTCGAGCCCCCGCCGAACGAGGCGTGCCAGCCCGTCGCCGCGCTGGCGCCGCGGGGGTCGTGCATCCTCGACGTCGTCGCCGCCGCCGCCGCCTCCCCGGCGAGCGTGGCCTTTTACGGCGGCGCCGGCGAGGAGGGCCTCGCGCCGCTGACCTACGGCGCGCTCCTGTCCTTCGCCCGGACCGCCGGCGAGGGCCTCTTCCCCGGCGTCGCGCGCGGCGCGGCGCCGCCGCGGCTCGCGACGGTTTTGAGAAATTCCGCGGCGTCGGCGGTGTCGTTCGTCGCGCTCACGAGGTACTGGACGCTCGCGCCGCTGAGCGGCGCGATCTCGCGCGGCGAGCTCGCCTTCGAGCTCGACGACCTGCCCGCGGCGGCCGTGCTCCTCGACGCGGCCGTCGCGGCGCCCTGGGCTCGGGCCGAGTGCGACGCGCGGTCCATCCCCGTCTTCGACTTTTCGCCGAACCGCGACGCGTGCGGCGCCTTCGCCTTCGCCGCGCCGCGCGCCCGCGCGGCGGCGCCGCCGCCGCGGGAGCCCGCGACCCTGGCCACGGTGGCCCTCGTGCTCCACACGTCGGGGACGACGAACAAGCCCAAGCTCGTCCCGCTCACGCACGGCAATCTGTGCGCCGGCGCGACGGCCATCGGCGAGACGCTGGCCCTCAAACCCGACGACGTCTGCGTCAACGTCATGCCCCTCTTCCACATCCACGGCCTCGCCGTGAACGTGCTGGCGACGCTGCTCGCGGGCGCGGCCGTCGTCTGCGAGCGCGCCCTCGACTGCGGCCGCTTCTACGAGCTGGTCCGGGGGACGTCGCCGCTGCGGGTGGCCGCGTCCTGGTACAGCGCCGTGCCCACGCTCCACTTCGCCGTCGCCGCCGCGGGCGAGCCCGGCGGGCCCCTGTACGCGGGCGCGCCGCTGCCGCGCCTCGCCTTCGCGCGGTCGTGCTCGGCCGCGCTGCCGCCGTCGCTCTCGGAGCGCCTCGAGGTGCGCGCTCGCGCCCGCCAAGG